TCGCTGCAACGAACACGATGACAAATTACAAGAGTCTCCCTTTTGGATAAAAAGATTAAAAACTAAGGCAGTTCTAGTTGAGTCCAAAAGCTGCATCAAACAAGCAGAGAATCCTCGCGGCGCCCCACGCCCCCACGCCCTCCCGGCCGCGCTGGTAAAGGAGAGGCGGCCCCTCCAGCGCACGCGGCTGCCTGACGTCTTGTTTGCAGATGACAAAGTTCAGGTACCAGTACGCTAGCCATGGGTAACTACTTCTGCCTTAAGTAAGATTCTTTTTACTTATTTTTTTTTAAAAACAATACTAACAGAGAAACAGCAGGTATAGTGACAAATGAAATACTTATATGACCAGAAAAAGGTATAAATCAAACATTTTCAAAAGTAACAAAACTTAGACGCAATAAAGGGAAAGACTCATAAGTCCTATTAATGTCTATAACAAAACACTATGACTAAGATTTGAAGACAAATGATAAACCAGACTGACTTACACCACAGTGAGAGTGAACAGCCTTGATCTAGAAAGCTCTTATACGAAATTGAATAGTAAAATGCACATAGAAAATTAATGAGCAATCTGCATAAATAAAAATCATCTTAGTGAATAACTACTACACACCACTGCTCTAGATAGTGAAGCTATGGCAGTGATCCTTGCTGCTACAGTAAGCAAATTTTCCAAGGCCTGAGGTAGATGAACACACACAAGATAATCCCAGACAAGGACAAGTTCTGTGGAGAAAATGCGCGCCGTGCTGGAGTAGCGAGGAAGCCCTCCAGTGGCCGGTGGCCGGGGTGACAGCGGGGCCTCTCTGCGGCTGGCTGGGCAGAGGACGGGTGCACAGAGCCGTGCAAAGGACGCACAAGTTCAAAGGCAGGAGAAACACGGCTAAGCCCAGGAGGACAAACCAGAACGTAAGCAAGGTCTCAGCTACAGGGGTACAGAACGTGAACAAGAGAAAAGAATCAAGAATATGCTGCCATTTGTGGCCTGGACAAGATGGAAATCCCTGGAGAAGGAGCAGACTGTTGTCTGGGGTCTGGGGGACGGGGGTGAGATTCTCGCACGCCTGGGCAGCGCTCGCACGGCTCTGCCCACGGACCGGACTATTTCATTCACTTTATCTATTTTGCAGTGTAGTCTCCCAGCAGCAATAAATCTGGAGAGTTCCCTAAGTTAGAGGAGGAAAAGAAAAAAAAACATTAGCCTTATAGAAGCTGCACTACGATCGTCCTTCAAGCCAGGGCGACGGCCTTCGCCGTAGTTGGGAGCGCCCTGGTGCGCTCACTGCAGGATCCAAGCCGCCTTCCACAGTAAACAGGCCCCTGGAAGTCCCCGTAGGTGGCAAACAGTGAAACCATTCGTGTTAAGTCGTTACAGCTACAGACATGCTCAGAGAAGAACGTTAAGAGGGAAAATAAGATTTATTAGGGAAAAAAACTGATGAAACTATTTCAAACAAAAGACCTGAAACAAAATTATGGAACACGGCCCGTGGTGATGTAAACACGTCCGCAGCAGCAGTGTTTACTGAAATGATGGCCCTTTCCCTCTCCAACAATATCTTACTGAGCCCAAGGAACTGGGAGGCAAGAATGATAGAGAATTAGTGTGTAGCCCATTTTTAAAAAGGGAATTTACCTACAATTAAGTTCTGAATCCATGAAAACCCAGACTTGAAATTCCTAGGTTTCCTAGAAAGGTAGGACAGGCTCTTTCTAGGTAGCAAGTAGCACTCAATGGCACCACCTTTGCCTCTAGGGCTAGTCTTAGAACACGAAGGAAAACCACCACCGAACAATTCAACCACTCCTGGAACGTCCCAGCTGCCCTGAATCCATTTATCGTCAAGAGCACCTGAAGAACACCGCAGTGTGTTCTGTCTCCTCATCCACAGTTTCATTTGAGCCTCACGACGGCTTGATCACCTCACCTAACAGCTAAGAGCAGGAGGCCCTGTGTCACACACCTGCTCACAACTACTGACTCATGAAATAGGGCCCAGCCCCCATCCTAGCAATGAAACAAACCGTCTATATTTGTGCCTTGGTGTCTGAAACTTGCTATGAAGTGGCTAAAAAAATAAGATGGATAGATATGTGAAAAGCAAATATAATAAAATGTTAAAATTTACTATACGGTTCTTTAGAACTTTCTGCTTGTTTGAAATGTTTCATAATAAAATGTTAGAAAAAACAAAACCACCAAAAAGAGAATGGTCTTATTTAAATGAATTGCAACGTCATTTAAAATTACTATATAGCCATCACTTGTTTTCATTATAGACCACTAAAAACATCATCATCAACATTTAAAAGACTTAAATTTGGGAAATTACATATTGTGAATGTGTCCTTTCCCCAACTCCACTCCCAGCACCTCTGGCCAAGCTGCTGTAACATCTCCTCCACGAACCACTTGGTCTCTCTGCCAACTTGCTGTGTGTAAACGAGACCTTGTCGCTCCCACGGCTTCCCACAGCTCCTAGACTAAACCCGAGCGCCATACTCTGTCCAGCAAGGCCCTACACAAGCCTGATCTCCAACATCCACACTGACATTTTGTATCCCTGCAACAGCCAAGCTTGTTCCTCACACTTTCTACTACTCCTTTTGCATTTAGAGGACTCCTTATGTTGACTCCTCCCAATTCAAATCTCAGAGTAGACCTCTCCTCAGACACGCCACATCTAATAGTCTCTTCATGGCACTACAGCATTTTCCTAAAGATTCATTTCTATCTGAAATGGCCCTTTATATGTCTACTTGCCACCTCCTACTACTTCCATGAAAGTCCCCCAAGATGGGGACTTAATACCATACATATAGTAATGGCTTATCAACTATTTGTTGAAGTACGGATTTAAGTGCTAAAATGTCCAACGTTTAACAACCAATTTGACCTGAATTGCAGCAGCCTAAAAATTGGAAGTAACTGTCAGAGGAAATATGACCAACTGTAAAATACAAGAGATCCAAGTCATTACTGTAGCTGCAGTGTGGTCCAAAAAGAAGTGGGTTTTGTTGTTGTTGTTTTTGCCTCTAAACATTATACCATAAGAAGACTACTTTTGATAGCTGGTCTAATGATCTTTAACAGATCACTCAACCTCATGACAGCTCAGCTTTCCCGTCTATTAATGGAAGATGCAGAACATAGGGAAGGCAGAGATGATTGCTTTGAGAATATTTAGAAAAAAATTGTTTTTTCCTTCTTAAAATTGAGAAAGACATTGCAAATGGGTTAAAAAATGCACATTCACATATTAAAAGGCAACTTTAAAACAAAAATTGTCACGGCGGTGTTCTAACTCACTGATCAATGAACTCCACCCCGACTCCGAACGCCTCCGCCATGTAGCCGAGGGTCAGCGAGCGGTAGGACTCCAGCAGCTGGCTGTACGCGTGGATCCTCATCTCCCGCACGTAGTACCGGTAATGGGGGGCGAAGAGCCAGTCCTTTTTCATTTCCTGTTCTACAATCGCTGCAACGAACACGATGACAAATTACAAGAGTCTCCCTTTTGGATAAAAAGATTAAAAACTAAGGCAGTTCTAGTTGAGTCCAAAAGCTGCATCAAACAAGCAGAGAATCCTCGCGGCGCCCCACGCCCCCACGCCCTCCCGGCCGCGCTGGTAAAGGAGAGGCGGCCCCTCCAGCGCACGCGGCTGCCTGACGTCTTGTTTGCAGATGACAAAGTTCAGGTACCAGTACGCTAGCCATGGGTAACTACTTCTGCCTTAAGTAAGATTCTTTTTACTTATTTTTTTTTTAAAAACAATACTAACAGAGAAACAGCAGGTATAGTGACAAATGAAATACTTATATGACCAGAAAAAGGTATAAATCAAACATTTTCAAAAGTAACAAAACTTAGACGCAATAAAGGGAAAGACTCATAAGTCCTATTAATGTCTATAACAAAACACTATGACTAAGATTTGAAGACAAATGATAAACCAGACTGACTTACACCACAGTGAGAGTGAACAGCCTTGATCTAGAAAGCTCTTATACGAAATTGAATAGTAAAATGCACATAGAAAATTAATGAGCAATCTGCATAAATAAAAATCATCTTAGTGAATAACTACTACACACCACTGCTCTAGATAGTGAAGCTATGGCAGTGATCCTTGCTGCTACAGTAAGCAAATTTTCCAAGGCCTGAGGTAGATGAACACACACAAGATAATCCCAGACAAGGACAAGTTCTGTGGAGAAAATGCGCGCCGTGCTGGAGTAGCGAGGAAGCCCTCCAGTGGCCGGTGGCCGGGGTGACAGCGGGGCCTCTCTGCGGCTGGCTGGGCAGAGGACGGGTGCACAGAGCCGTGCAAAGGACGCACAAGTTCAAAGGCAGGAGAAACACGGCTAAGCCCAGGAGGACAAACCAGAACGTAAGCAAGGTCTCAGCTACAGGGGTACAGAACGTGAACAAGAGAAAAGAATCAAGAATATGCTGCCATTTGTGGCCTGGACAAGATGGAAATCCCTGGAGAAGGAGCAGACTGTTGTCTGGGGTCTGGGGGACGGGGGTGAGATTCTCGCACGCCTGGGCAGCGCTCGCACGGCTCTGCCCACGGACCGGGAGGCCGCGGCGAGCTCGCAGCCCCGGCGTCGGGCACCGCAGGCACAAGACGTAACCCACTGTGGAAGTCAAGGCTCAATTTGTCTCAACCCAAAATCGGGTTCAGAATTCGCTCACAGCTTTCCCCGTGAAGCTCGACGCTCACAGCCACTTGCTCTCTCCTGCCGTACATCCCCTTAAAAATGTAAACCAGCGTCTGGCAAAACCCTCAGCAAAAGGCCACACAGAAAATACTTTTAGGCTTTGCGAGCCAGAGCTCTCTGTCACATACGCTTTTTTTTTTTTTAAACAACACTTTGCCAATGTAAAAATCATTCTTACTCCTGAGCCTTATATACAGCCCATGGTTTGCAGCCCCCACTCTAAACATACCTGGTCCAGTTAGCCACACCAATCAAAGACCTGCAGCTACCTCACACTCCATTTTCCAGGTCAGTGAGAAATCATCTCAGGGCATTTGCACACAGGATCAGGAGTAAAGTGAAGACAGATAATCAAAATGAGCAACTCTGTCCTTACCTAAGGACTGGAAGAAAGCCGAGTAGCGACATTCGTAGAGCGAAAACAGATACTGCCGAACTGCCGGAAGACTGTGCAACACTTCCAGAATCTCGGCTCCTTTAATGACCTAGGCATCACCAAATGAATACATAAATACCTCTTTAATGAGCTTTGTGTATTTAAGTTAGAAACGCACGGGGCAGCCTTCAAACACGAGCATTAAAGGTTCGGCCATTACCTTTTCCCTGAGATCCGGTCTTTCTAAGGCAATCATGCTCACATACACAGTGTAGGTCACGAACGTTTTATAATCCATGAGCTCATAGGATGTAAACGTTGACACGGTGTCAAGAAAGAGTTCAGCTGCCTGTTTGAAATCACGAATAGCCACACAGTAAAGACCCTGATACACTTTTAGGCGGTTTCTTCTGTCCCAGTCTCCTCCTTCTTCTATTAAGCTATTAAATAAGAACAGTAAGATCATAATCTGGAAGCAGACAATGCCACTTTTTAAAAGTTTTGTGTTAATTTCAAAGAGAAAACAGCTTTTAACGACTTGAACCTAAAGAAAACATTTTACTAAATAATTACATTATCATTTGACCAAATTTACTAATTGTAAGCAAAAAAATGGCAAATTTCTTATCAATTTCTCATTTATATAGCATCATAATTTAGAGGGACTATATCCATATTGTTAAAAAGTACCTTTTGGCCTTTTCTGTGTTTCGTGTGATGAGATCATTATCCATATAAAATAAGCCGATCCTAAGGAGATAGAACACAATATCCAGCCGGTGACCCAGGGCCACGGTTTTGTCATATGTCTTGCGAAAGGCTGTCAGCGCTCCCTCCTGTCAAGAAGGCCAAAGCACCAGGTAAGAAAAGGTTACAAGGTTTCAGAACTGTCTGGGATTTCTTCAAAGGGAGTGGGGGACAGGCAGGGATAGACGTAAAACAAGGTGGCCCTTAACTGATAATCGTTGAAGCTGGCTTAGAAATACACATGGGTTTATTATACTATTTTATACTTAAAGTACGTACAGTTGACTCTCAAACACAGGTCTGAATTGCACGCATCCACATATACCTGGATTTTCTTCTGCTTCTGCCACCCGAGACAGCAAATCCAACCCCTCCTCCTCCTCCTCAGCCTACTCAATGTGAGGACGACAAGGACGATGACCTTTACAATGATCTGCTTCCACTTAATTAGTAAGTATTTTCTCCCTCATGATTCTCCTAATAACATTTTCTTTTCTCTAGCTTACTTTATTGTAACAATACAGTATATGATACATATACAAAGTATGTATTAATCAACTACTTATTGGGGTAAGGCTTCCTGGTCAACAATAAGCTATTAGTAAAGTTTTGGGGAACCCAAAGTGACATGTGGATTTTCAACCACATGGGAGGTCAGTATCCCTAACCCCTGCATCGTTCAAGGGTCAACTGCAAAACAAATAAATAAGAAATGCCTAATGTATTCTTATATTCTAGAAAATACTAAGAAAAATATTCATAATTTATTCACAATTTTTAAGTACTCTTTCGTTTGTTCCATATATTATTTTTACCTTTAATAATTACAATATACAACATCAAAATAACTTCACTGTAAATTATCTGTCATATCACTTAAAGGGTTTTGGAAATCATATCTTAGTTATCACTATTAGACTATAACTCAATTTGTAAATACACAATTCTATTTCAAAGCATTATGGAATAAAATGTTTCTACTGCTTTAAAGACAAGAACATGAATAAAATCATTTGTTTCTACTTGGTACTTTTCACTATGTGTCTGCCTGGTTTGTTTTACGTAATTATGAGTTATGCTTCATAAACTTATAAAAGGAACTGGCAAGACAGCAGTGAGTGCACCTAGCACTCAGATCTAGATTTGAAAATTCTATTCCCCACTAGAGGGAGCCAGGGATCCTAGGAGAAATTGATGATTTCAAAACTGTTCTTTTTGGAAGAATACTACTAAATAAACAGAGGGAATACAGTATTAGAACACGACCGGTTTGCAATCCCCTGACTGACTCAAGCAATTATCCTTACTAAAATTTTCTAGGCCCTGAATGAAAAGTTTGAATTTTCTCATTCACACATAATACATTAATCTTTAAAACCAAAACACAAACACACACAACATAAAAGTAAATGCAAACTATTGACTATTTTTAAACTTTTCTGTATTTTCAAAATTTTTACAATGACCAAGCCTTAAATTTATAACCAGAGAAAAGAAAAAACCTGTTTTAAATTTAAGTTGCATAATAACATTTAAGCACTTACTCTGTGCCAGGTACCAAACTCTTTGCTTCTATCTTTAGTCCAGATTAAGTAGAAACCGTCACTGTCCCTATTTTACAGATGAGGAAACTGAGGGTTTGGTAAATCACAACAACTGGAAATAGAATCCAGGCAATCTGATCCAAGAGTTCACACTATTTTATTTTTTATATTGACATGTTACCCCACATCTAAATACTTCTGTATGTATGGCTTAAAATTAAGAACATTCAAAGCCCATCCTCTTAACCATTATTACACAACTACTAAATTAAGTTTAAATACCCATACTGATGAGCCGTCCTCTAAAACACTGATAGTGGAGTATACAGAAGCCAGCAGTTACGTGGAACTGGCCACACATCAAAATAAAAATTGTTCATCGTCCCAGTGATTTCATTTCATAGACTATAGCAGGCGCTCTCAAACTACGGCCCCCCTAGCACATGTATCCGGCCCTCCAGGTGTTTCTGCCACCGCTGCCTGTCCTGCTTAGCAGCCGACTCGTCCCGGGCCCACAGTGCGCACTCTCCAACGGTCTGAGGGACAGTGACCTGGCCCTCTGTTTACAAAGTTTGAGGACCCCTGCGCTATAGCCTGGAGAAATACTAGCATATACACACAAGATAACATACATAAGCATATTTTTACAACAGCTATTTGTTAAAGCAAAAACAGCTAAAAACAACATACATGTTCATCAATAGCTGAACAGGCAAACTATGGCATAGCTCTAGTGGAATGTTAGGCAGCAATTTACCTGAATGAGCAAGATGTACGTACATTAACACAGAAATACCTCTCAGGTATAATGCTGATTAAAAAGGGTAAACAGGACCACAAGAGCACACTACGATCCCATGTATGTAAAAAAATTTTAAAAATACTACCTATTTTCTACCAATATGTATACATGCATGTAAATGCACAATAAAAGAACTATTAATAAAAAGATTATCTCTGAGCAGAGAGGGAGTAAAGAAAGATCAAACGGAACTTCAGCATTTACTATGATGTTCTCGATTCTTCCAAGGAAAATACTACTAAGTGCAAATTTTTAAAAGGCACCAGGACCAAAGCTTCCCAAATGAGAAAAGTAAACCACTAAAAATGATCACAATTTTGTAAAAGCTGTAAACAAACAAAAATCTATGCACCTGTGTTGTTACTGGCATCAGAGAGAGATGCAGAAGAACACAGACTGGGCTCTTGTTGAGGGGCAGATCATAGGGTATTGCAAGAGGACTATTTTTCTTCGTTCATCGTTACATTGATTCACTAGTTCGGGTAAGCATGATTACCTGTGTACTTTTTTAAAAGGAAGCTAATTTTTACACTGAGATATCATTAACCTGGAAAGGTTCTCAAGTTTGGATTATACCAACTACAGAGAGGAAACCATCTGCACTCACCTTGTCACCTATCCTGCAGAGGTACTCGGCTTTTGTCATCATTGCATCTCGGATTTCGCTCTCTCCCAGATTCTTCTCTGCGTCTTCCAGCTCCTCATCCAAACGTTTCAACTCCTCTTCGTTTGCCTTCTTCATTTTATTGAGCAGGTCCGTGTCTGTCTGCCAGTCCAGGGACTTGCACAAGGCTTCGTAATAAGGAGCCATGTCTGAAAGCCAAAGAAGGGATGCGTGGGGGCCAGTGTGCACGCTAAGGCCGCTAAGGCCATCCGTCCACCGGTCCCCTCTCCACTACCAGGAAGGAATGGAACAGAACTTAACAAACGCTAGGCAGAACGTAAACCATGCTCTGCAGGTGGGCGGTCTGCATGAGGGACCCGGGCACGGCCAACCCCTGCCAGGGCTGGGGGGCCCGGGGAATCCTCGGTTTACTCTCTCGGGATTCAGTTCCAAAGGAGTCTTAACCCTTTGCACTCGGATGTCGAGTGTGACTCGACACGGTTGGCATCGGCAGCAGCTCGTATGTATGTTGAGCCACACTCGACATGTAGTTTCACCGCGGAGGGAAGGGGGATTTTTGTCTATTTTTCCAGTATCTTTTCTTGTTTTCATTAGCATGAAAGGACAAGTGAAATGTAAATGCAGAGATGGCACGCTAACTTCCAGGGGTAGATTGTTACCCACTGACTTAGAGCAACGTGTAGATGGAAAGCTCCATGTAATCACACCCCACCCTAACAAAAAACACAAAGATTGTGTCCTTTGCTCTAACAGAAAAATCAGAGGAGGAAGAAGAGAGACGATTTATATTTGCGAAACATGTGAATGTAAACCAGGTCTTCATGTGGGTGAATGTCTCAAAAAATATCACACCATGAAAAAGTTTAGAGATTAAAATTACTCAATGAATGTATCAATAATTTGAAATATTTAAAAATCCAAATAAATAAGTCTGTATGAAAAGAAACCCCAGTTTTTTATTCTACTGCCGCGCTTTGTAAAACTCTGGGGTATTTAAAAAATTAAATCCGGAATAGAATAAAGGAAAAAAGCGAGTGCAAAGGTTTAAACGGGGGAACAGGCCAGCCTGTGTATACTCAGACAAGCAGGCTCAATGCACACCACTCGGTGCCCCTCGCGGCTGGGAAGGGAAAAAGGAACCGAACCCCAATTTCCCCTTCCCACGGGACGCTTCCTCCCCTACAGGGAACACCCCCCGCCGCCGGGAGCAGCCCCGCACAGTGACAGCAAGTCACCCGGCCCTCGCGCTGTGCTAAATACCCGGGAATTCCTCCCAAAGCGCCCTCAGGGGGAGGGGAAGGACCCGCAGAGACGCGGACCCTCCCGAGAGCACCCTATTAAGGGGCAGACCCCCAGGACACCCCGACTACAGGCAGACCCCAGGGCACCCCAACAAAAGGCAGGCCCCCCAGTGCACCCCAACAAAAGGCAGACCCCCCCAGGGGACCCCAACAAAAGGAAAGCCCCCAGGAGACCCTAACAAAAGGCAGGCCCCCCAGTGCACCCCAACAAAAAGGCAGACTCCCCAGAGCACCCCAACTAAAGGGAGGCCCCCCCAGGGCACCCCAACAAAAGGCAGCCCCCCCCCGGGCACCCCAACTAAAGGGAGGCCCCCCCCAGGGCCGAGGAGCCAGGCCTGGCCTCGGGGACCCCGTCAGAGCGACGCCGGGGAGGCCGGCCAGGCCCAGGCCGCTGACTCGGCGCCCGCGGGCCTCACTGTTGTCGCGCACGGCGGCCATCAGCTCGTCGCGCACGGCGGCGTCCCCGCGGTGCTCGGGCAGGCTCAGCAGGAAGCGCAGCTGCGCGATGCGCAGGTCGGGGTTCTTGGGCAGGCCCTCCTCCTCCAGGTTCTCCAGCGGCATGGCGGCGGCGGGGACGGCGGCTGAGGGGAGACGACGGCGACTCGGCCCGGACCCGCGGCGGTGGCGGCGGCAGCGGAAGCGGAAGGAGTCAGCGAGTCCGCGCGGCCGCCTCCAGCCCGGCTTCCGCTTCTGCCGCCGCCGCCGCCTCCGGCAGCGCCCCCTGCTGGACACCGCCGGGAACGCCGCGCCCGGCCGGAGCGCTGGCGCCCCCGTGTGGTCGCCTGCGGCATTCCCTCGCTCCAGGCCCCACGGAGTCCCTGGGCCCCACTCCAACCTTGGATTTTTTTGAATCTCTTCCTTCCTCCCTTTTTAGCCATTTTACTTTTCATTCCGTTTGTAATTGATAGGAGCTGGAAAGTTTTTTGGAAAAACTTGAAACTATAACAAGAAGAATAACGGTCGCAATGCAACCACCATTTAATCCTCTCAAATGCTAGGAGGTAGTACTCTCAGCCCATTTTGCAGGTAAGAAAATTGAGGCACGGAGCGGTTAGGGAACATAAGCAAACAGAATCCCACAGGTTTTGATGCAACAGCATCGTCATTTTGTTTCTTCATAAATTAAATACTCACATGCCTTCATTTCCAGCCTTCTTTTGTTCATGTCACCACAGAGTCAATCCCATATAATGCATTTACCATAATTTACTTTTAACTCTTCCCTCTGTTAAAGGTGTCTTTCAGTTGGCCAGGATTTCTTATTTTCCTAATACAAAAACTAGAGAAAGACCTTTGGATGCATAGATCATTTCGTATTTTGCATTTTTTCTTCTCCTTAGCATAAATTTCCCCGAAGGAATAGTAGACAAAGGAAGGAAGGGTTTTGTGATTTGGGTATACTTAACGTCAAGTTGCTTTCTAAAAGAGCTGAACCGCTTTGTATGGCCACTGGAACAGCTGGAAACTGCCACATTGTCATAAGCGGTAGGCATTATTACCACACGTCTTAAAAACAGTATTTGTTTCTGTCAAAAGGAAACAAGCATTTTGAAGACAATTCAAATAACAGAAAAAACGTAAAAGGCAAAATGAAAAATGACTAGCACCCCACTGCTGTTAAACCTTTAGTGCAAAGCTTTCTGAACATCTTTTATTTATTCATGCAACAAACACGATGGCATGATTACAAAGTTCCAGGCACTGTTTTGCACAACAGGCAACCAGCAGTGAAAAGCACAAAGCCCCTGTCTCTGGAACTTTCCTTCTAGAAAAGCACAGCTTCGTTAAAACTCACCGAGATATATTAATAGGATCATTCCACGCTTGCACTTTTCAAACTGCATCTTGTTCTTTCTGCCATGCACCGTGGATATCTTGCCATGCAACAAATACGGACGGACCATATAGGATTCCATTATATGTATGTACCAACTTTCCCCCGTCAGTCCTTAACGGATATTAATTTAGACCGTTTTTAATTTTCTCACTCTCAATATTACAGTGTTTAGTTGTCTGGGCGCATATATATTTTCACACTTGTGTAACAATTTCTTCATCTAAATCCCAACAAGTGCAGTTGCTGAATAAGAAGGTATGAACATTCCACATTTTGATATACTTTGCAAGGATTATACGAATTATTTCTCCATAAATGATGTATCAATTTACATTCCCACCAATATTGACCAGCAGAGGGCCTGTATGGGAGAAAAAATAATCTTTTCCTCACTCATTGCAAGGCTGAGATCATAGTTCGTTGCAACCTCAAACTTCTGTGCTCAATCGATCCTCCCATCTCAGCCTCCTGAGTAGCTTGGAGTATAGGCACGAGCTACCATGCCTGACTAATTTTTTAAATTTTTTGTAGAGAAGGGGTCTTGCTAGGTTGCCCAGTGTATTCTCAAACTCCTAGCCTCAAGAAGTCTCCTGCCTCAGGCTCTCAAACTGCTGGGATTACTGGTGTGCGCCACCACACCTGGCCTACACCTGTGTATATTTAAGCTAAAATTTGTAAGGCATGGACAGTTGTGTAGAAGTACAATTATCCAAAGGGGGTGTGATCTCTTGGTAATTAAGCTGGGGAAACTTAGCAAGGCCTGTTTTTTTTTTTTTTTTTTTTTTTTTCCAAATTCTTCTCTGTGGCCCTGTATCTTCAAGATAGAAGGACATTTCTTTCCTTTGGGTCTAGAGACAGTATCCCTGGAATGATGCTCTTATGAGTTGCCTTAAAGGAAAGTCAGAGAATGAATTCTTTTATCACCAGTTTCAGTGGAGAAGGGCAAGAAGGTGAGAGTGACCTTCTACTGTCTCCTCAAATGACAAGGTGACATATTTTAGAGTTGCCTGTCCTGAACTCCTTTAGACCAGTCTCCCAATATGCCTCTATCAACCATCTTAAGCTTTGCCACAATCACAATGTCAATGTTGCTTTTCCTTTGTACTTTTTTTTTTTTTAAGACAGAGTCTCACTCTGTTGCCCGGGTTAGAGTGCCGTGGCGTCAGCCTCGCTCACAGCAACCTCAAACTCCTGGGCTTAAGCGATCCTCCTGCCTCAGCCTCCTCCCAAGTAGCTGGGACTACAGGCATGTGCCACCATGCCCGGCTATATGTTCTATATGTTTTATATATTCTATATATATGTTTATATATAAACATATATATAGAATATATATAAATATATAATATATATGTTTTATATATTTATATATTCTATATGTTTTTAGTTGGCCAATTAATTTATTTCTATTTATAGTAGAGACGGGGTCTTGCTCTTGCTCAGGCTGGTCTCGAACTCCTGACCTTGAGCGATCCTCCCGCCTCGGCCTCCCAGAGTGCTGGGATTACAGGCGTGAGCCACCGCGCCCGGCCATGTACTTCTTTTGTTATCAATGAGATTGATTTTTTTGTTGTTGTTGCTCCTCCCATTTGGACTAACCAGATATATTTTGTCTTTTATGCGTTTCCCACTTGGCTTGATCAATTCTCTATGGAATCTTGTCTCATTCACTTGCAAGCACTCTTCATATTTCCCGGATGCTAACTTAGTGAAGTGTTGCCATTTGCCCCCTGGTTTATATTTCTACATTTTTACGTTTTTTTCTAGCATAAAAGATGACAACGTTTAAATAATTAAAGGTATCTTTCCAGATGTGTGACAAGAATTGGATGTAGTTTCCTGTAAACGCATGTTTGCAGGAAAACCTGTGTAAATAGTCATGCAGCTTAAATTATATGTGACTGGATTAATAGATTCTGGCTTCCAATTCGTCCTGGTACAGAGTGGTAATCCAATTAAGGTTGCAATTGTCAGAGGATCTAAATTACAGGGGATTCTGTGACTCCCCGATATTCTAGGTGCAAATGACCTCAAGGCTAGGCACAAAGGCCTGCTGTCGGCTGTCACTCCCCACGGGGGAGAACAATTTCCGGTCAGATCTGTCTTTCTCTTTTCTTTTTAGCTTCATTACCATTAATTGCCCAGAAATCAATGGAGCCCTGAACTGTTGCTGTGATTTACTTGCCTGGTTGATCAAAGCAGCTCCTCGCCCCATATTGACAACTCATTATTGAACTCTAAATCACCCATTCCATCCATCGCTTTGTGGCCATTAACTCAATTGGACTGGAGCCACTAGTTTTACGAAGCCCCTTCTCGAAGCTTGAATTCTGGGGGTGCGGGGGGAGTTTTGTGGGCTCACAGAGGGAAAATAAATAGGTATCTCTTGGTAGAATCCTGCCCCATGGGAATTAAAACGTGTAATGGAAACACAGTATGGTAAACTGAGTGCACGTATATCCATTTTTTATTTGCTCTAGTCCTAGGGTTTATTTTTAAATCATGCTTTCTTCATTTACAATCAGTGTTACAAGCCCTTTTCTATGAGAACCTGGTTTTATTTAGAGACACTATCCAGCAGGGCCCTCCTCCTCCTTTTGAGCCTTTGTTCTCTCCCTTTATGTTAGATTATTTGGCTCTGAAAAGGATGCTCTGTCTTAGGGCCCTTGGATTCCCTCCTTCTGAGCAAAAGCATGTTCAGCTCCCTGTCCTGGCCCCGAGGGTGGTCGATGGTGGTGATGATCACCACACTTACTGGATCAAAAAATGTCCCTCCAAGTGTGTAATTAACTTTGCCTTGCCCACGTGGTGATGCTCGCTGTTAATTGCATGCAGCTTTTTCCTTGCATTTTCATTGCATTTCAAAGACTTTATGTGAGAGGCGCTGATTGTGCGGGCAGAGCTAGCTCTCTGCTCCTGCCAGCACCCTTCCTGTTAGGCAGTTATTGATTACACTTCCCAGGACAGGGACGTTACACAGAGCATCTGCTTAGAACGCACAAAAACTTCAGTGTTATTGCCGGCCGGGCGCGGCGGCTCACGCCTGCAATCCTAGCACTCTGGGAGGCTGAGGCGGGACAATCGCTCAAGGTCAGGAGTTCAAAACCAGCCTGAGCAAGAGCAAGACCCTGTCTCTACTAAAAAAATAGAAAGAAATGAATTGGCCAACTAATATATATATAGAAAAAAAAAATTAGCCGGGCATGGTGGCGCATGCCTGTAGTCCCAGCTACTAGGGAGGCTGAGGCAGGAGGATCGCTTGAGCCCAGGAGTTGGAGGTTGCTGTGAGCGAGGCTGACGCCATGGCACTCACTCTAGCCTGGGCAACAAAGTAAGACTCTGTCTCAAAAAAAAGAAACTTCAGTGTTATTGTAGCATGATGACCAATGGGTGTAGCATGCTCATTTCTGCCTGGGTAAAATTTACCTTTCCAAAGGAGCATTCTGGAGGGAAAAGGGGCTTGGAAAATGCTGTTGACCTTGCAGCACGGCATCAAGCTTGGGCAACTCATGGAAAGAACACCAGTTTTCTTTTCTTTTCTTTTTTTATTTTTTGAGACAGAGTCTCACTCTGTCACCCAGGCTATAGTGCCGTGGTGTCAGCCTCGCTCACAGCAACCTCAAACTCCTGGGCTCAAGCGATCCTCCTGCCTCAGCCTCCCTAGTAGCTGGGACTACAGGCATGCGCCACCATGCCCGGCTAATTTTTCTATATATTTTTAGCTGGCCAAGAATTTCTTTCTATTTTAGTAGAGACAGGGTCTTGCTCTTGCTCAGGCTGGTTTCGAACTCCTGACCTTGAGTGATTCTCCCTCCTCGGCCTCCCAGAGTGCTAGGATGACAGGCGTGAGCCACCGCGCCCGGCTAGAACACCAGTTTTCTTT